GTCCTGCGCAATACCTACTTTGGAAGATGCTCTGGGCTGCAAGTGGACATCGTATCACATTTCAGTTTGTTCTGGAAAGATCAAAATTTTCCCTAGCTCAAAAATCCTCTGCTCCTCTACGGACATGTCAGTGAGGGCTTGGCTCACACAGCACCTGAGTCACTCAGACTACAGTGGGTACCCCCTCCGAGCCTGTCTGTGTCCCTCCTAGCCTCTGGGATTCCCTGAGGAAGGAGCAGGCTGCAACCATCACAGTTGCAGGTCTTTTGTGAGAGAAACTTTATGCCCTGAAAAAGGAAGTGCCCTCTGCACACTGGCCAGCATCGGGGAGGGGGCGGGGGGCAGGGGCAGGGTAGAAAGGCCAGCTTTGTGCTGATGTGAACATCCTCCTGGGGTAAAGCACACACCCTCTGCAGCAAATCACATTCAAGTCCCATTTTCTTTCTTGCTTTTTTTTAAAATTATTATTAATTTATTTTTGAGAGAAAGAGAAAGAGAGCAGGGGAGGAGCAGAGAGAAAGGGGGAGAGAGAGAATCCCAAGCAGGCTCTGTGCTGTCAGTGCAGAAATCAAGAGCCGGATGCTTAACAGACTGAGCCACCCAGGTGCCCCTAAGACCAATTTTCAGAGCGGGTTTAGCCCATGGAAGCCACCAGATGGTGAGGCCTGGACATGGAAATCTTCCAAACTATCCTACAGAATCAGCCTGGGTCAAGACCAGACAGCTCCCTGCTGTATAACCATAGCCCACACCTGTCTACTCTGGAAGCAAGCTTCACTCCCAAGGCCCTCTCTCCTACATTTTATAAGACATAAAGGTAAGATGATCTATAAAAACAGAAACTTAAGTTTTATTTGGTACAAGTGTTACCATGAAGCAGTGTAGCTCTCTGATAAAAGAAATGCACGGAGCAAAAAGTGTGGTAGCTTTCTCTAAGCTGTTGAGTTCTGTCCCAAACAACCAGGTGGAGAGCAGAAAGCAGCCTGTTCTTATAGAGTGCTTGGCTTGTGCTGGATGCTGGGCCTGTGACATTCAAACCACCTGGGTGCACACACAGGTCTGCACACTGTACTGCCTTATCTCCATGGAGGAATGGTCAATTCTTTAGATCTGGAACCAACACGTGGTTGGGTATCCACAGCAGCACTCAGCACATGGTATTGCTCGATACAGACTTGAATGACATGGGAACAGCATCCCGGCCTCACATGGCCCTGCAGGTGACGGGGTGTCGTGCATGCCCAGATGGACATTCTGAGGCGTGAGCTTAACCTGAGGGCCGTCACAGATGAGAAGAGAGAAAGCAAGAATCGCCACTACCTCACTGGCCATATAGGTGTAGAGCACTTTGCCTTTGATGACGAACCAGAGCTTCTTCCAGTGCCTCTTGCCTTTCTTGCACCGGTTGAGATAGCCACTGATGGCAGAGCCCTCTCCGGAGGCGGCCACCTGACAGAAGGGAAGCAGAGTGGTCAGGACAGCAGGTGGTAGGCATAGTTCAGACAGAGCTAAAGTGACACTGCAAACCAGTTGGCAGAGAGTGTTTATACTGCTTTGAAATCTGAGACTTGGATGAGGTCTCAGGATACATCCAGTACCTCAAAAGCAGCAAAACAGTACCAGGGATTAAGACAGGATTTACTGAATGCACCCAGGAAACACAAGAGTCAAAAACAGCCTTCGGGAGTGCTGTCCCGAGTGGTGTTGCAGATTCTTGGCTCCCTCTCCCCAGTTCCCAAGCCCCCAAAACATGAAACTGCAGATATTTGAGGGAAAGGTTCTTCCCTCTAAAACTGATTCTTATAAGAGTTAATACCTATTCTTGTCAAACTAGTCCAAAAAACAGAAAAGGAAGGAAAATTCCCAAATTCATTTTACGAGGCCAGCATTACCCTGACATCAAAACCAGATAAAGACACCACCAAAAGAGAGAACTACAGGCCAAATGTCTCTGGTGAATATAGATGCAAAAATCCTCAACAAAATACTAGCAAACCGAATCCAACAATATATTAAAAAAATCATTCACCACAATCAAGTGGGATTTATTCCTAGGTTTTAAGGGTAGTTCAACATTTGCAAGTCAATCAACACAATACATCACATTAACAAAATAAAAGAACAAGAACCATACGATTAGTTCAATAGATGTGGAAAAAGCATTTGACAAAGTACATCTTTTCATGATAAAAACCCTCAACACAGTAGGTTTAGAGGAAACATGCCTTGACAAAGGCCACATGAAAAACACACATCTAGTGTCATCCTAAGTAGGGTAAATTGAGAGCTTTTCCTTTGTGGTCAGGAACAAGACAGGGATGTCCACTCTCACTACTTCTATGCAACATAGTACTAGAAGTCCTAGCCATAGCAATCAGATAACAAAAAGAAATAAAAGGGATCCCAACTGGGGTGCCTGGCTGGTTCAGTCAGTGGACCATGTGACTCAATCTCAGGGTCATGAGTTCAAGATCCATGTTGGGTGTAGAGATTACTTACAAAAAAAAAAGTATCCAAATTGGCAAGGAAGAAATAAAACTTACACTATTTGCAGATGACATGATACTATACATAGAAAACCCAAAAGACTCCACCAAATACCTGCTAGAAATGATAAAATAAATTCAGTAAAATTGCAGGACACAAAATCATTGTATAGAAATCTGTTGCATGAGAAATTAAAGAATCTCATTTACAATTTACTATTGCATCAAAAATAATAAGATACTTAGGAATAAACCTAACAAAAGAGATTAAAGACCTGTACTCTGAAAACTATAGAATAATGATAAAAAAATTGAAGAAGACACAAAGAAATGGGAAGACATTCCATGCTCATGGATTAGAAGAATAAATATTGCTAAAATGTCTATACTACCCAAAGCAATCTACACATTTCATGCAATCCCTATCAAAATATCACAGACTTAGAACAAACAATCCTAAAATTTGTATGGAACCACAAAAGTCCCCAAATAGCCAAAGCAATCTTGAAAAGGAAAAGCAAAGCTGGAGGCATTGCAATTCCAGACTTTGAGTTATATTACAAAGCTGTAGTCATCAAAAAAGTATGGTACCGGCACAAAAACAGACAACATAGATCAATGTAACAGAATAGAAACCCCAGAAATGAGCCCACAACTATATGGTCAATTAATCTTTGACAAAGCAGGAAAGAATATCCAACAGGACAAAGACTGTTTCTGTCAGCAAATAGTGTTGGGAAAACTGGATGGCAACATGCAAAAGACTGAAACTGGATCACTTTCTTACACCACACACAAAAATAAATTCAAAATGGATAAAAGACCTAAATGTGAGACAGGAAACCATCAAAATCCTAGAGGAGAACATAGGCAGTAATTTCTTTGACATTAGCCATAGCAACTTCTTTCTAGGTATGTCTCCCGAGGCAAGGGAAACAACAGCAAAAATAAACTATTGGAGTTATTTCAAAATAAGAAGCTTCTGCACAGCAAAGGAAACAATCAATAAAACTAAAATACAACCTACTGAATGGGAGAAGATATTGTAAATGACATATCCAATAAAGGGTTAGTATTCAAAATATATAAAGAATGTATACAAATCAACACCCAGAAAACAAATAACCCAATTAAAAAATGGGCAGAAAACTTGAACAGACATTTCTTCAAAGAAGACATACATGTGGCCAACAAACATGTGAAAAGATGTTCATTATCACTTACCATCAGGGAAATTCAAAACAAACCCACAATGAGATAACATCACACACCTGTCAGAATGGCTAAAATCAACAACACAAGAAACAACAGGTGTTGGCAAGGATGTGAAGAAAGGGGGACCCTTGTGTACTGTTGGTGGGAATGAAAACTGGTACAGCCACTCTGGAAAACAGAATGGAGGTTCCTCAAAAAGTTAAAAATAGAACTATCCTACCATCTATCAATCACACTAGAGGAATGGATAAAGAAGTGGTATACACATACAATGGAATATTAGCCATGAAAAAGAACGAAATCTTGCCATTTGCAACAACATAGATGGAGCTAGAGAGTATCATCCTAAGTGAAATAAGTCAGAGAAAGACAAATACCGTACGATTTCATTCATATGTGGAATTTAAGAAACAAAACAAATGAGCAAAGGGGGAAACAAGAGACAAACCAAGAAACAGACTCTTAACTACATAGAACAAACTGATGGTTACCTGAGGGGAGATGGGTAGAGGAATAGGGGAGATAGGTGATGGAGATTAGGAGGGCACTGGTCATGAGGAGCCCCAGGTGTTGTATGTAAGTACTGAATCACTATATTGTATACCTGAAACTAATATTACGCTGTAAACTGGAATTTAAAGAAAAACTTAAAAAAACTCCACACATACATGTTCAAAACATTGATTCTTATACTTTTAAGCTTATCTCTTATACTAAAAGGATAAGAGGATGGATCTTAAAGATGGATCCTCTTTTTAATGTTTACTTAAAAGGTCTGCCTAATGGGGAATGTTAACTCCTGTTGTTATTAGAAGCAGTACTTGTCTGTTGCACAGTCTCTCTGTGGAGGTTCAGAACACAGGTGTAAAGTAATACCAGTCTGGGGCTCCAGTCCAGGTTCTCCCAGTTATTTGATGGGCAATGTGGGCAATTACTTCTTTGAAGTCTCAGTTTCACTGTTATTAAAACTGGGATTAAATGACACAAGACAGGTGCCTGACAGGTATAGTGCCTGGCCTACAGGAACTGCTCATAAATACCAATCTTACTATTGGAGAAAGAAGGTCAGGTTTGGAAATAATTTAATCTGACTTTCCCATTTTACAGATGGGCCTGGAGGCATGGAGGTATCTACCAAAGGTCAAATCCCTACCTAGTTGAAGAGAAGATAAGAACTTGGATCTCTTGGCAAGTACTCTGAAGGTCGATGAACTTTACTGAAGGGAAAGGAGGCCACCACCAGCCTGGGCTGTTTTGAGAAGTACCAGGAAAGGAGTCTGTCTCCGCCACAGGTTCCAAGACTCCTAGAACCAGACACGAGCTTTCTCTCCTGGCACTTGCCCTGTTGAGGCAGCTCATAGAGTGAGGAAAGGCAGAGTAGACAGAACACATTGGAAGAAACCGATTCTGCAACCTCCCTTTCTGGCAGATGCTCAGGAGGCAGCATTTCTGCAGACTTTCTCATGGGGAGTAGGGCTTGCTGCAGAGATGGTGCTCCTGGGGGAAGGGGACAGGGCAGTGGGGGGTAGGGTGGGGCACATTTCTCCTGGGGCTGCTGCAAATCCCACTAAGTGTAATCTTTGCTGGATAATAACAAGGTTGTCACTTTAAGCAAAAATTACTAAAGGGCTGGCTGGGGCACCAGCATCAGAGCTGCTCGACTCTGGAAGGCTAAGAGCAGTGGTTCTCAAACTCTGTGCCCGTGGAACACTCGGGTTCTGTGAGCCACCACAGAAGGAGTGAGAGGTGATCTTTTCTAATTACTGGAAAGGGATGACTTACAACCACACGATGTAAAACGTGTGAGATCTGCATGTGTCAGCAAATGTGGAATGATAGTTAAGAGAAATTAAGTGTGAAAATGTACAGAAGATTTAGTACAATTTGTTGTATTTCGGGTAAAAAAAAAAAGAGGATCTATGAATGTGCATCTTTATTATGTATATGCATTAAAATTTCTGGAAGGATCGATAAGAAACTTCATGGTTACTTCTGGGGGTGGTGGGACTGGAGGAGTTCAGGGAGGGAGAGAAACACGTACGTTTCATCAGGTATTCCTTTGTGTTCTGAAAAAAATTTTTTTACCACGTGTTATTCTCAAGATTTTTAATATGCAAAGGTATTAAGTTAATGAATAGAACAGTACCTCTTTAAATATTTCATACCCTAACACTTCTTAAAACCCTTGCCACCAGCTACTCAATAATGAATATTAATGCAAAAACTTGGAAACAGCTGATCATGCTCTTTTGACAGCTTGTATATTCACGGGCACACATTTGTTTGTGGTTGTGATCAGAATATAAACATAGAATCTGGCCCTCCTTACAGAACAGACTTGAGTTTAACCAATGGTGAGGTTTCCTGCACAGAGTCCCACACCCTCCAGGAGGCTCAGCACCTGAGGCCATTTGGGACCCACAGGCTGAGTGGATGGCACAGTTCCAAGGGCCTGCCGGGGAGGGCGAAGTCAGGACTGTAGCTGTTTTAGTCAGAAGAGTACCAGTGATCTGTGCACCACTGCTGGGGACCTGACCTGGTCCAGGCTATGTGACAGGAAAGAAAGTAAGGAGAAAAAAAGAAACACTAGGGGAGAAGGGGAGAGAGGAATGGGAAAGGCTTCTAGCACCATCCAAAACCATTTGGGGTCCTGCCTTCTGCCACCAATCAGACATGTTCTCAGTCACGCCCAGAAGACAGGCCCTGTTAGTGGTGAGTTACTCCTTGTAGCTAGAATGTCTCATGTTAGGAATTCTCTTTGTCCTGTAAAGTTCAGTCAGCCTGGGGCAGGTTCTGACCCTGTCCGAGGAAGGCCATGAACCTTCTAAATCCCTTGCCTCCCACACAGGCAGTCTACCTGCCTTACCTCAGTCAGGGCTGAAGGAACTTTCTTCTGCTTCTTGAAGGTTGAGGGGTTGATGCTGTGGAAGACGGACGAGAAGGCACTGCTCGAGAAGCGTGGGGAGGACAGGGGAAAGCTCATGCTCACGGGCCGCTCTGTAACCAAGACAAGCCATGGAGGAATGGAGGTGAGTGTCCATGCAGACAGGCATGCATCTTGCTTTGGAATGCCAATTCCTGTAAAATTAGAGCTCCTGGTCCCTCCTGCGATGGAAATCAGCTTCATGATGGGGGTTAGGTGTGAGCAGAAGAACAGGCACACTCTATCTACTGACACAAAGGCCACGGGAGCCAAGAAGGAAGGCTTTTTCTGGGTGCTGGCCATCCCTTCTTCACCTGGGCTGTCCTCTGTGATGGCCTCGGGGGGCTCCAGAGAGGAGAAATCTTTGGTTTTAGGTCCAGGATACACTTGCTGTCCCTCTGGCCTGACCCTGCTTGGACAAAGCCTGGACCCTGAGCACAGTCTCTCAAGGGCTAGCACAGCTTCCCCAGGTTCCTTTCTCAGTCAAAGAGCCCTCAGCCCTTCCCTGATCCACAACTCCTCTGCTATCCGTCTTACAATCCTTATCCTGAAAAAGTCCCATAGAACACAGGCCTACAGAACATTTTCAAAAAGAGGGCCGCTATGGCAAAGTAACCATGAGTCACCACGCCTACCGTCCCCTTCACAGAGATGCACTGACCCAGCGTTTCCCAAGCTTAGCTGTCTGCAGAACACTTCCTCTGGCAGTGCCTATTGATTTATTGTGGAACCACTATTTTGGGAAATGGTCCCCCAGGTATGGTTTAAATCCCTCTTTCTTCCTTCAGGACTGCTTTTGTTCTGAGCCTCCCCAGAAAAGTAGTTTCAGGCACCAACCACGGGCCGGCGAGAAGCCACGTGGGCCACCTGGAAGAACGGAGATGGTGTCCCCAGGTTACCTCTCATCATGCCTGGGACATCCCCGCCCCTCTTCTTCAGCTCCCCATAGCAGCCATCACAGACCTTGGCCATCCGGTCCTTGAGGTACTTCAGGGGGTACTTGTTTCTCGAACAATTCCGGCACACGATCTGCAGGCCCAGTTGGGGACACACATTGGAATGGTTCTCACCCTCTGCATGTGCAGAGGGCCAGCATCCCCTCCCCTCTGCCAACCCCCCCCACCCCACCTCTCCAGGGACCCCGTGTTCTGAGCACAGAACTGTGTCGGATCGCCCTGCTTTTCCATTGTGAAGGTACAGAGTTTCTGTGCAAGTGTTTTTATCAGTTTTTCTGATGAGTCCTTAACTAGGACATGATACGTTTTCTCCTGGGACAATAACCATGTGTGCTATGGTTGTCTTTTGGGAGTACGGTGGTATAGTGAAATGGGATTTGGAGCCCTGGTTTGAGACTATCAGTAAAATGGGTATTAACAATCTCTACCTCGCAGGGTTGGTGTGAAAACACCCTTCCCTGGGCCTGACACTCAGTAGCTGCTGGATATCCCTGACAGCCAACCCCACACGACTCTATGTACACACTCACCCAGGTGAGGTGACTCACCTTGCCACAGGCGTGGCAGTGATGACGCCTCAGGGTGAGGGAGAAGTCACAGCCACAGTTCATGCACATCATAACATGTGTGACAGGCACCAGGGTGGGGGGCCTCTCCCCCAAGCTGACCCCCAGCCTCTCCCGTATCTGGAACAAAGGAATCGGGTGAGCAATGTGGTCAGGAGATAGCTAGATGGGTGCCCTCTTTCCTGTGCAGGATGTGTACGTGTAGGGTAGATCCTAATTCTACAACCCCCTCCACCGCATGGTGGCTTCCAGGATCCTAACCTTGGGTCAGAAACAGAGCCAATGGGAAGTGCTGTATTTGGGCTGCACAGTGACTGCCTGGCTGTGGGGGAAGTGTGGTGGGAAGGGAAGGAGAAGGGGTGTGATGGAAGGAGCTGAGAGCCCTCCTGGGTGTATGGGTGCCCAGGGAAACCCAGGGCTGGGAGACTGGCATCAGGTGGGTCTCAGGGCCCTCCACTCACCTCCACGCTGTGGTGAAAGGCAGCCAGAGCCTGGGCCTTGTAATCCTCAGGGAGGGCTCTACTCAGACAGCTGTGCCATTCATCTCGCTCAGCACAGGAGCTGTGGACACAAGCTGGCATGAACAAGGCATGCAGGTGTGCACGGCGGCTCTGCCTCTGCTTCTCAGTGTAGATCAAGTCCCCCCACGTTTCCCCTGGCTGTGCCTGTCAGTGTCTGAAATCCCACCGAGCACTGGCCACCTGCCAGATCAGCCTAGGATCATAACTCAGTACCTCCATCTACTAGAAGGGTGGCCAGGGCATGCTAGCTGTCCTCTGGGCCTGCTTCTTTACCTGTAAATGGCACTGTCAACACTATCCCTCTAACTCCCAGTACTGTTGTGGGAAGAAATGACATGTGGGACATGGGTGGACTTTGTTAATGGCAAAGCACCATGCAAAAGCAGGGGCATTAGGAAGATGTAGAGAGTCCCACACTTGAGGAGGGACAGGGGACAGGGTGCAGAGGGCTGTGTACATAGGGAGGGGATGGCTAGGTGAAGTTGGAAAATATCAACATCCTCGTCTCTTCATCTTCCTCCTCATTTTCCCACATAGCTTCCCAGACACCCCCTCCCCAACAAGATGACTTCCCAAATTCCCACTCCACACCCTGCCCTTCAGGGTTGCCTGAGCTTTGAGCTCTGCCCCAAGAGGCAGAGTGGTGGAAATTCTCCCAGGACCCACTAGGTGTCGCTCCCACCTTGCGTAAGTGTGTGGTCTGCCCCAGGAAAGCCAGGATAAGGCATCCCTTTGGCCTGGGAAGGAGGGACGGGGGTAGGGGGTGGGTAGGGTGGCGATGGGGTCAGAGGAGGTGCCTGAGACCGGGCAGGTGCCCAGTGCATGCTACTCGTGTCATCAACACTTAACTATTACTGCAGTTATGCTCTACGTTGTAATTGGTACACAACTCTCCCGCCCTTAATGTGAGCTTCTCCCTGAGCACATCAAGGTTTAAATCTGTGTCCTCAGCACAGGGCCTGGCACTGAGGAGTGGCTAATAAATGCTAAATGAGCAAATGCATCTGCATGAGAACGTGATGTGCACTACGCCACACAGAGGGCATTGCTGCTTCCTGCCAGGGTCACATATCAGCTGTGAGGGGAGACACCCATGCCTTGGTGACCCTGTCTCAGCCCCCACAGTGGCCCCAGCAGAAGCCACACCTCCCTGGTTTCTGAGCCTAGAGAGCTGGAGCTGGCCTTGCCCTGAAAGAGGGAGGGGGAAGCTCTTTTGCTGCCCATAGTGAGTGAGGCAGGGTCCCTGGGCAGCCTGAAGGCCTGGAGAAAACACAAGACCCTTCTGAGAAAAAGGCCACACCCCCAAACCAGGGAAAGGCAAATGATGAATGCTCACTCATTATGTTTTTCTCTCAATCTCCGGGCATGAAAGCCTAAAAGCTGACCACTTTATGAACTAAGGTGCACAATGCGTTTTTTGCTCACCTTAACTTCTTTACTTGCATTACTGTAAAGACCCAATCAATAATCCATAGACATTTACAAACATGAGATATTGTTATTATTGTATTTAAAAGAAGAGGCTTAGGGGCGCCTGGGTGGCGCAGTCGGTTAAGCGTCCGACTTCAGCCAGGTCACGATCTCGCGGTCCGTGAGTTCGAGCCCCGCGTCAGGCTCTGGGCTGATGGCTCAGAGCCTGGAGCCTGTTTCCGATTCTGTGTCTCCCTCCTCTCTGCCCCTCCCCCATTCATGCTCTGTCTCTCTCTGTCCCAAAAATAAATAAACGTTGAAAAAAAAAATAAAAGAAGAGGCTCTAAAAAATAAGTCCTTAGACCCAAAATAATACCAAATAGAAATGACTCATTCAGCTTGTTATTCCAAACTTTAACACCTATAAAATCCTGTGTCCCTATCCCCCAGACCCTCCCTCTACCCACTTCCCCATACCTGGCAGATAGAGTCAGGCAGGACTGGGAAGTCTCAATCTTTAGGGCATAGGGCACTTTCTCCATCACAGGGCGGCTGACCTGGAAAATCAAAGCAGCCCCTCAGGGCAGGGGCAGGGAGGGGCAACCATAGACTGGATTCTTTTCTTGGTCCTACCACTGTCCCTCTCTGAGCCTGAGTTTCCTCATCTGCAAAGGGTAAACTTTTGTTTGATGGTACAGGGTGTGTGTGTGTGTGTGTGTGTGTGTGTGTGTGCGCGCGCGCGCGTCTGTGGAGAGGGGAGTGCCGGCTCCAACTGTGTGGTCTGTAGGCACCCATCCACCCCTAAGAAAGTGGGTATGCACCTAAAAGGATTGAAAGCGGGGTCTCAAAGTGATCCCCGTATACCATGTTCATAGCAGCATTATTCACAATAGCCAAAAGGTGGAAGCAACTCAAGTGTCCATCTATGGATGAATGGAAAAACAAAAATGGTCTATATGTACAACAGAATATCATTAAACCATAAAAAAGTAAGGAAATTCTGACACAGGCTGCAACATGAACTCACCTTGAGGACACTGTGCTGAAATGGGCCAGTCACAAAAAGACAAATACTGTATGATTCTACTCATGTGAATTATCTAGAGCAAATTCCTAGAGACAGAAAGTAGGATGGTGGGTGCCAGGGGTAGGGGGCTGGAGGAATAGGGAGTTAGTGTTCAATGGGGAGAGTTTCATCTAGGGATGATAAAAAAGTTCTATAAATGAATGGTAGTGACGGTTGCACAACAGTGTGAATGTGCATAAGGCTGCTAAACTGTATGCTTAAAAATGGTTAACAGGTACATTTTATGTTATGTATATTTTATCACAATTTAAAAAACTTTGCCATACCCCCACTTTGTTTCCTCCCTCCAAGGGTTTCCTTATGAATTGCCCTTTTTTTAGGATGCCTTTTCCTCTTCCCCATCTGTCCAAATATTATCTACCATAAGGGACTCAGTGCCCCTCCTCCAGGTAGTCCTCCTACCCTCTCCCCTCTCCTGCTGTAACCCACAATATAACGCTGTTTCCTTGGGGCTGCCTCTTCCCACTGGTCCCACTGGTATGTGGGCTCCTAGAAGCGGGGATGCTATCTCTCCTCCCCTGGGGTCTCCCTCCACCCACCCAACAGGGTGCTTAACACCAAGCATTTACCTTCATGCTGGCCATTGACAACGTGTTCTTCAGCCGGTACTTCCCATCTTTCTGGGGATACGTGTATAGGAGCACATCACTCATCTGGGGAGAAGGAAATCCCATCAGACGTGTCTTGACCCCAGAAGGCAACGTAGGCTGTGTCCTGGAGGATCACTGACCTCTGGGGAGCAGAGGCATCCTGCATTCCCCAGTGACCCCCCACAGGAGAGCATAACCACTCTGAGCTAAAATGTGAGTCCTTTCCCTGAAATTCCACTCCTAGGTAGAAACTTAAAGAGGAAATAAATGCAGATGTCCACAAAAAGTCAAGTGCAGGAATGTTCACAGAGGCTTTATTCATAGGAGCCAAATAGTGGAAACGACCCAAATGTCTACTCAACAGGCGACTGCATCAAAGAACCAGGTAGCACTGTGGAGTACTACGTAGCAACCAAAAGGAACTGATGGTACACACGACAGCATGGGTGAATTTCGAAGACATGCCAAGTGAAAGAAGCCAGACACAGAGGAGGATACACTGCTTCATAACATTTATATGAAGTACCAGATGAGGCAAAGCTAACCTGTAGTGATGGAAATTAGGCCAGTGGTTGCCCGAACAGGGGGTGGAGGAAGTGAGTGCTAAGAGGCACAGGTGAACATTCAAGAAATATTCTGTATCTTGGAGCGCCTGGATGGCTCAGTCGGTTAAGCGCCGACTTTGGCTCGGGTCGTGATCTCACGGTTCGTGGGTTCAAGCCCCACATTGGGCTCTGTGCTGTCAGCTCAGAGCCTGGAGCCTGCTTGGGATTCTGTGTCTCCCTCTCTCTCTGCCCCTCCCCAGCTCACACTCTGTTTCTCTCTCCTTCAAAAATAAATAAACATTAAAAAAAAAAAAAAAAGAAATATTCTGTATCTTGATCCAGAGGGTGGTTACACAATGATACACATTAGTCAATAGGCAGATATATACACTTAAGATTGATGCATTTTACTCTGTAAATGAAGACTCCATAAAGTATAGTCAAAGAAGGAAGAGAGAGAGGGAGGGAGGAAGCTCCTTGAGCATAGAAAGTTGGTGGGTCCTGGTCACTGGTGTACCTCCAGTGACCACAGTAGGTACTCAATTAATATCTGCTAACTGAACAATTGAAGCTCCTTGCCCCCATGCAAGGCAGACCAGAAGGAACATAGTGCAAGTCCCCTCACCTCCTTAGGGGAGAGCATTTCTGTTTAGCTAAAAGGTTTATAGTTTGAAAAGACACGTCAATCTTCACTCTGCTCTGTAGCAGCTGTGTGACTGTGGACAGGCCATTTCTCTCTCTCTGAGCCCCAGCTTCCTCCCTGCAAAGAAGGGGTCATTGCTGCCCCTACCATATTACAGATGCCGAGACAGAGAATGGCCCCAGTGAGCCCACTGTATGTAGGAGCCAGTGTAAACTAGGGGTGTTGCAAGGACTGAACAGGACAAGGCATCTAAGGGGCTGAAACAGAGCAAGAACTCAGGATTAGCACTTCCTCTCCCTGTAGAGAGTCTGCTGAGGGAGGGAAAAGAATAGATGAGGCTTCCTGCCTCCAGCTCTTAGGATCCCAACATCCCAATATGCCAACAAGAGCAGTGTGGGACACCTGGCTTGGACACAGAGCCGCTGGGTGGACTCAGGCAAACCCTTCCTCTCTCTGGACCTCACTGTCTCTAACCAGAGTTGGGAGTAGACCAGGAGCCAGAAAACTTTTAATAAAGGGCTAGATAGTAAATATTTAAGTCTTTGCAGGTCATACAGTTTCTGTCACAACTATTCAACTCAGTCATTGTAGCCCAAAAGCATTCACAGACAATCCACTAACAGATGCATGAGACTGTGTTCCCATAGACCTTTATTAACAAAAACAGGTGTCAGGCTGACCCCCAGATCAGAGGAACCTTCAAAGACCCTTTCAGCTCTGCCCTTCTAATAATGACAAGAGCTACTGTCCTACTGGACGCTCACTCTGTGCCAGCTCCTGGGCTAAGCACCCTGATCTCAATTCATGCCTCCAACAATCCCATCAGGCAGGCACCATTATTATCATCCTCATTTCACAGACAGCTTAGACAACCTGCTCACAGGCACAAAGCTTGTAAGTGGCAGAGTCAGGGTCATCAGCAAATGAATGTGCCTCCAGTGTGTTCAGGTGTGGTGTGTGGGGGGTGGCCACGCAGTTGAGTTCTTGCCCCATCTGGGGACAGTGACCAAAGCTGGGCACAGAGCCTTGCTCACAAGCCTGCCCACCCTGGGGAACTGGCTTGTGTCACTAATCAGAAGGGTACCTGCCTTTTTGCGGCTGCCCCTCAGGCACCTGCTGCCATGGCAACTGCCATTAGCACCCTGGGGTTTTATGTGTGGTCAGAACCAGGCTGCCTCCTGATTGCCCACAGTTCTCTTCTTCAAAGCAGGTATTTTATAGCTCGATTTGGAGGAAGGGAGAGGAATCCTTCATGGAGGAGTAAAGGGGAATCTCTCACAATAATGAGCCACCAGTGGGGAACCCCACCTATCGCTTCGGGTCATGGTGGGAACCACTCTGTAGCATTACTGAAACCCCTGTGCATTGCATTGGTGGGCAGAGGCCCTGACTTTGTTCTACAGTTACAATTACTTTATGAAACTGGTACCTATGAGAAAGAAAAATTCTTAAGTGTGTTTATCACGGCTCTTCCTGGTTTAGGAACCTGTGTATCCTCCTCCCATCTCTCTCTCTAGGTGATATTTATGAAGGTCCTATGCTAAGACAGAGCAAAGAAGGGGACCCAGATTCAGCAGGAGCTATGGCCTAATTATAATGAGGGGATATGAGAGACCCAGGCCCAGCATGGAGATGAGGGAGGGAAAGGCCACGATGAAGCCAACTAGATGCTGGAGGGAACATGAGGGAGGGAAGAGAGACAGAAAAATGGGGAGAAAGGGAGAGGGGAAGGACAGACTTCTTACCCTTCCTTCTGGGCTTAACTAGGTACCATTTCTCCAGGAAACATATACTTAGCACAGTGTGTAGCACCAGTGAACATATAACAAACATCAGTGCTGCTGACGCTATTGTCCATCTTTTTATTCCCTGACTCTCGTTGACCTCCCTCTTTGCTCCCATAGACCTGAGGTTCTGTCCATGTCATGCTCTTAACTCGGTAGTTACATTAGACACCGAAGGTTGACGGCACAGCATGAGACTTTATCTCTTTGTTTCCAGTGCCCAGCACATAGGGCAGTAAATATCTGAAACAGAGTTCTTAGACACTTACAGCCTGTTTATTATTACTTCTCACACAACCCTAACAAAGTATAAGAGGCTCTTAAGGGCAGCCTTGACTGACAGTAACAAAAAGTGAAAGTTAAAATCATGAAGAACAGAGAAAATTACACCCAGCAGGTAGAAGAACTTAAAAAGCAAAACAATTTTGGGCCATAGGATTGGGAAAATTATTGCTTGTAGCTCAACAGCCACAGAGGTTGATGTTACCATGCAACAGGCCTGGACATTCCCTGGTATTCCAGACTGTGGCTGCAAATCATCAGAAATGTTACACTGTACTCTGTCTTGTGCACAGTGGAGAAAGTGCTAGACTGGGGTCACAACCCTGGTTCCCTTCTGGGCCTCTGCCACCAACCTGCTGGGAGATCTGGCCCAGGAAACTCCCCCTTCTAGATCTCAGCTTTCGTGCGTGTTAGATAAGGCAGTTGAACAGCTATCTCCAGTGTAAGAATTTTCCAGTGTTAGGATGTTTGAAATGGGGACACAGGCAATTAAATTTTGGCAACATTCCATTTAAAATCGCTCAAATAATCAATGAGGGAAAGACTGTGGTTGGCAATGGTTAAGCCCTCAGACCTCTGGAAAGCTCAGCTCTGTAGAATGATCTTCAGCCTAAATATTCGGCTCTGTTCTAGGTCCCCCACCCCCCAATTCCAGTTGCCTTTGAATAATGACCCAAGAAAATTTCACAAAATTTGATAGTCCGGGGGCTTGGCTGGGCACCAGGTACTTACCAGGAACAGGTGCCGGGGCCGTCTGCTTTTCCCTGTTACTTTCATCAGTGTCCCTTCCTTCAGAAACTCCTGTGGGGACAGAAGCAGACCTGAGAAGTCAGGCTGATGCCCAAGAAGAGTGGGGGGAGGCCCTGAGCAGGAAACTTAAATCTTGGTGCCTCCCAAAGTACCACAGAACAACTAATGGGTGAATTCCCGGCTTTAGCGAGATGCCCATGTTTGCTTCTTAGGAGCAGTCAGTCCGCCTTGACTTCTAGCAAGCCCCAGACACTGTTCTGGTCTCTGAGGGGTCGAGACAGTGACTCTTTCCCTCGTTTGCTGCCATGGGGAGCCCTTCAGAACAAAGCCTGTGAAGGTTTGCTAAACAGCTGAAGACCCGTGAACGGTTGCTACAGGCTCATTAATTCCGGAGGATGATTAAAATAGATGCCTAAAGTTACTTAACATAAAGAAAATATTTAATAAATATTTACTGAACTGGTGAGCCAAGGCCAAACCATTAGGTGTGATTTTATAGACTCTCAGACCAATGAGATCCCTGTTAATTTTGAATAAAATATCCTGAACATAACACCTCTCATGTCTATGTCTCTTGTCCTTCATTGACCATAACAGGTAACAAACATATCTTTGACTATTTTTGAGCTGAGTTTTGTGTTTTCCATTTGGAAGCTTAAAAGTGGGTAAATTTGTCTCTGGAAAAATGTTATTTTTAAGCTGCTTTGTAGGAGCATGGTTTTTGGGAGATGGTTTTCCTGATTTTCTAGCAATGCTGGGCTAAACTAAAAATACTTGGTGTCTCTTCTTCTTAGAGGTGAAAAGAACCACAGGGACATGAACCCAAATGGCACTGTTTCTTTAAAGGTCCGGAAAGTGGAAAACACCAGGGGAGGCAGCCCCTGGGCCTTGTGAGCCCAGCAGAACCCTCCCCCTGCCCTTCCCCCTCCCCCTCCTCGGGTAAACAGCACCTGCAGCCAGGCCTGTCTGGGACCAGCCCAGCTGAACAATGGGTCTTATCAGAGCCTCACCCGCCTGCCTACCAGGCCGCCCTCTGTCCCTGCCCATTGCGGCAGTGGCACTCACCCTTCCTGGCTGGAGGAGATCCCCTTGGCCTCGAACACTGTGCTCAATGTGGACCAGCTTCTGCAGGTTTTCCTGTGGGAGGAAGCAGGGCAATGGGGAGCTGGTCAGGACCCCTTTAAGGAGTCTTATCCCTTCTATTAGAAGTGGCATTGCTTCTACCTCAAAGGAGGAAAACAGAGTTCAGGAGGGCCTTGCCCTAAATCTGACCTCCTGTCAGTGGCAGGACTGGGATCTGAGCCTGGCCTTGCAGGGTACCAGACATGTGGACTGCCCATACTCAGGCTAGTCCCTCTGGGCCTGCGATCTGACACCACCATCTTCTGTGTGCCATGGGCACAGTCACTTGCCCTTGTTGTGCTGATACCCATATTTATCGCTAGGCCATGGCTCCTCCTCTCAATCTGTGTCCCCTGAAAGGCCTGGAGCATCTAGCCATCACTAATCCAGAGGGGTCAGATGCCCAAGGCCAGACTCTCTCTGGGATTGCAGCCCGGGGGGGGGCCTCTGAGGGAAAGTAATCAAGAAAATTTTCCACCTGGGGAAGAAACAGATCTGTGTTCTTTGAAGAAAAATATGTGTGCCTGGGAACTCCTTGTTGGTCCCTCACTGGGCTATCCACAGTATGCAGTGACATACCTACCCTCCCTCTGC